AGCAACCAGGTTAGTGACTTCTAGAACGATCAACAGCCTGCTGAGGGATTGGCTTGCCTGTGTCCCTGGATTAATGTCTTGGTTTGATTTCAGGCCTGCTCCTCCACTGCCAGTACTCTTCCTCATTCAGATTTTACCAGCTGGTCTGCAGGGAGGAGTATTGTCAAAGGTTGCTGTGCACCTTCAGGCCATAATATTAAGGGAAATAAATCAGACAGGCTTAGATAGCTCATGGTTTCTCTTACGGGAAACATAGAGAACAATGTAAAATAGAAAACATCTTTTGCAAATAGGAAGGGAACCACGGAATGGAGGGGCAGGGAGGAGGGAAACGTGCACACATGTCAGTTCCGCACAGCGAGTGTAACATGCTAATGAAATTTGAAGTAAATCAGCTTCCTGTAGTTCTACTAATTGCTTTCTGAGAGTTCCACTTTCTATAGTTCCACTGATTGCTTTCTGAGAACTGATTAGGTTCAGAGGTGTAAGGGGGTAGACAGCAGAAACTGTGACCTGAGGGGCTGAAGTCACTGCCCAGTGACAGTTCAGCAAGCGCTCTTCTGGTACTTGGCGCTGAAATCAGTTTTCCTCGTTTAAAAATGTGTGAGGTTCTGAGTCTGCCACCAGAGTACCTCCCAAAGGAAGTCTTGCCTCGGAGCGAGGCTGAGAGATGCGCAGCCCGTCTCACCGCGGCTTGCTGCCTCCTGCGCCCCCTGAAGTGGGTGCTGGCAGAGTGGGACCGAGGGGAGCCCCTCTCCTGTGGGTGCAGCCGAGGAGCTTTCTTGCTGCCCCAGCCTAGTGTTACTTCCCACCCGCTTGCCCGCACGGACTACAGAATCAGCTCTCAGGCATGTCTTTACTGACTTCCTCACCTAAACCATCGGCGCTTTCAGGACTTGCTACCACCTGCCTTTTCCCTCGGGCTTCCCATGAGGGCCTTCCTGTCTCGGTGAACCCCCCCTCACTGGCCTCTTTGTACCCTCCCCAAACGGGTGTATGCACAAATTTGTACATTCCTGCCTTTGCTGGTGATATTTTCCCCTCGGGTTTGACCTGCTTCTGCCTTCTTCGACTTCCCAGACTTGATTGCCCTCTGTAAATAAAAGAGTGAATTTTCAGGCAAGTGACTGAACCTGTTAAGACCAGTTTCCCACCTATAAAACGGGGCTGTAAATTCTTCAGGAGGGGCCAAGGGTACAATGGAAGGAATGAAGCTGGGCACACTCGTGTGCACTTTCTCGTGTTTCTCCACCCCCTCCTGTCTGCGGAGTGCTCGGAGGTGCGTTTTTGGGTGGCGGAGGGATGACGGGGGTCCTGCTGGCTACCCACCTGAGTCACATGGCACAGTCCAAACTGCAAGACTGCTCAGGGGTAAGCGCCCAAGTGTGAGCTTTGAGGGATACAGAACAAGGAAGGGCCCCTTGAGTGAAACACACCTCTGGAACCCTGTGCAGATGCCCCGAGGCCGTGCAAGAGTCAGTTGCAGTGGTCCATATTTGGGTTCTTTCGAGCCCACACCAGTATAGCGGGACTTTGGCGGGAGCGGGCAGGCTGGGTAGAGCCGGACCTTTCCGCAGCATTCACTCTGCTAGCGGGTAGGAAGGAGGCCGGGCTGGAGTCTGCGGGGGCTGACTCCGAGAAAGTTTCCAGGTTGCCGCTGGGGGAGTTACGGGAGGTGGGAAGGACAGGGTGATTTGCCTGAGACGCGCACTGGAAGTTTTGCATCAAGAGTGACGTTCGAGAGAAGCTTGAGCAGAACGCGGGTATCTGAACGACCCCGTCCGAGAGGTGACCCGGGTTAGGGCTCAGATTCGGTGAGCGAATCGGTGCCAATGGCTGGAGCTCACGTATCCAAAAGAGCATGTTCTGTGTGCACCTCCTTCGGGCCAGCCGTTCCCTGAAACCCCGCAGGCCGGACCCTCAGGCTGAGGTCATCGACCGCAAGGCGGAGCTGGGACCTCGACCCGGTCGGAGGGGCTCCCACCTGCTGTCGCCCCACCTCCGCCCCGCCCCGCCCCGCCCCTAGGTGGAGAGCAGAAGCGGGCGGCGAGAGGGCCAGCGCGGGTGGAGACCGGCGAGGGCCCTGCGAGAGGGGAGCCCCCGGACAGGTCGGCGGCGGCGGCGCAGGGCAG